TATCATGTCAATGAGAGGTTACATTGATAAAGGATCTTCACAAACTGAGATTCCCCACCATGGAATTACGAGGATGGGAGCTGATCATTTACAAAACTGTTTTGGTGAGAATTCAACGGAGACACCTGTGGAATCAGAAAAAATATATGCCTTAAACTTTGATTATTTTAGTTATAAGTTGACATAACCGCTTTGTGGAAAATTGCTGGTTCTGTATAGTAGAACAGATAAGAGAAACTGTTTGTTCTTTGTAACTCCTCTACAACTGCTTCGCTCACCGCGGCCTTGAAGATAGCAAAAAAGTATGTACAAATCTGATTTCCAGGTACAAGAAGGAGGTTTGTAAACTAACCTTGCCTCCCCCATTAGTTCCCATCCTGATTACAGCAAAAAAATAAAGTAATATTATAGCCGCTTTTCATGCTAATTTCACTATATGATCACGTGAGTTGTAAGCAACTGTTAAAAAGTATATAAGCCTCCTGATTTTACTCTTGGGGGGGACACCCCTTCCAAGTGCTTGGAAAATCCATGTCACTTTAGAATCCCCCCTACAGCTGTAGTTTCTTTTAAATAAAAGCTTCTGCTGACCTGACCCAAAAATATGCTGCGTGTGTTTCCACGACACACCTTTGTTTATAATTATAACCATTGCTACTGTGAGAGTTGTGCAGCGTAGTTATAGCATTTAGAACTCAAAGGCCATTGCCCACTAATGAGAGCTGTTGCTCACTGGCAGGAGAAGGTGTAAGGGTCATTTGTAATAGTAATAAGGTAATAGTTTTGGCATGAACTCATGACCAATGCCATTTTGGAAGATATAAGAGATATTACACAATATCACAGTCTTAACACGAGCAACAGCCTTAATGAACCCCAGCTGGGGAAAATGATTTTATTATCAGTATGAAAACCTTTAATATCAGCTTTTGGTAAAAGCCAGTCAGACCTCAAAATGCCTACACAGTATTGCCAACCCCCGCTTTCAAAAAATCAGGATCCAAAACTTTGAGGTTTGTAAAGGTAGTATATTTGAGGGATTGTCTTCTACTTTTTGAATCTTCAGAGATTGCATTTTCAAACTTCTCTCTGCAATCATGAAGGCTAGATTTTTTTAATGCAAGTCCATGAGATCCCATGACTCCAGCAGTTGGAGCTTTAAAAAGGACATCAGTTACTGAATGACCTTGGATATAAAAACACAAGATTTAGCAATGGGGGACAATTGAGCCAAAATTCACTCTGAAGTCTGAAAGTAAATATTTGAATGGTCTCTTTTAATGATTTAAATGTTTAATCATATAATCATATGCAGGTCAATTATTTTATTTAACCTTTCAGCATTGTTATTTATGTTTCACACAAAATGTAATAAAGTTGTTTACAACATTTAAAATGCAAAAGTGAAACCTCAGGGAATTTTTAATTAGCCTTTATTTTACTATACTTTCTTTTGATCAAACTTTGGCAACAAATCATGAATTATTTAAAGTGGCAAATCTCAAATTGTTTTGTGCTTGCGACTAGAGAGAGAAAAATACCATTATACTTTATATATACCTCGCTGATCAGCAAAAGAGTGAGGCATTTTGCTTGTTCTAACAGCATCCTTCTTTGATGTCAAGGGGTTGACGTTTTGTTTTGAAAATACACCTGATTTGAGGTATATTACACTTTAAATAAACTTGGACACCAGAACCAGTCTAGCCATGGGAGTGTGAACCTCCTAATGCGTTAACTTAACCCGCCAAAAAGCAGCGTACCTGAGCAGGCTCATTTAAACCTAGCTTGGGTACCTCTCCACTACACTGTAGTCCATGGTGTGGGCATCCCCTCGAATGCTCTTGTTATTCCTGTTTGGGGGAGCTGTTCCCTTTCCAGAGCGTGAAGTGTTACAGGTGTTACAATAATATCATTCCAGCAGATGGCATTGTAGCACTGTCAAAGCAATGGCTGCACACTAAAAGTTTGGAAAGCCTGCTTAGTTTCAACGTCAGGGTGATGGATTTCTTTGGTCTGTTATCTGGAATCCAACATTCTTTGTAGCAAAATCTAGTGCAGAAATGAGACCAGGCCTAGGAGGGATCTGAAGGAAAAGGAAATGGAGATAAAGATAAAAGCCTTGTCTGCATAGGAGAAATTGGCCAGATAGCTATTCTAATATCAAATAATTTTTCTTCTAAAATAATTACTCTGCTTTGCGAGTACAGTAATTATTCTGAAACACTGCTTTATTTCAGAACAGAGCGATCATATGGAAGGAGATTCAAGAACAGCTATGGAGATCAGTTATTCTACCCCAGTTCTTCCAGTCAATTTCCACTGTGTAGAAAAGCCCACATATGCATATATAAAAGTATGTGTATATAAAAGGCAGACTAGGAAAGGTTAAAAAAAAAAAAATGTTTGCAGTATTTATGATGTAAAATAAGTTATTTAAATATCCTACTTCTCAAACTCTCTTTATACATCATGAAGAAGTAGTGATTTTAAGGCCAGCATGATTTCCTAGTCTTAACTTGTATAAATGCAGGCCAGAGAATTTCACTCAGCATTTTCTGCCTCACACCCAAACATCTGCATTTGAATTAGTGCCATTTTGTTTACACAACATCCAATCTTTGTTTAAAGGCTCTGAATCCAATTTTTGCTCACTGCATTTTTCTTCTCCCCAAAGGAAATTCAATTTTTAGTATTCCGAAGGGCTCCTTCAGTTAAAAGCCAACAGGTAGTTTATTCGCCAGCTGTCCCATCTCAGCGTAATGGGCACTGCATTCTGCACCCAGAGTGACTAGCAGAGAACTGAAACAATTCTTTATTAATCAACCATTTAACTTAAGGGCTAAAGAAATCAGTTGCCCGTTACGAAATGACATTTCTTCTCACCCCACCCCAATGGTTTAAAACTCATACTGTATTCTCAAACTGACACTTTTGTTGTCTCTAAGTGATACATTTTTCTCTCAAATTTGCTTTCCCCCCCACATACTGTAATTTCAGCAACTTCTCCTTTTTCTTAGAGAAACTGTTTCCCCCAAGTCACGGTCCTTATCAGAGCTTGCAGGGCAAGGCGAAAAAACTCCCTAATTGTTAACTTCCTCCCTCACATCTGAAAATCACAATATTTCCGCCTTTACAAATCAGGTACAAACTAACATAGCAAACGGTGGATCTTCTAGCACTTGAGGTCTTCAAACCGTGAATGGATGCTTTTCTGAGACAGATGCTTAGTCAAACACAAGTATGTAGACTAAATACAGAAGCAACAGCGAGATTCGAAAGGAAGGTCCATCTAAGCATAGCAGTCGATTGACTAGCGTGGTTAAGGCGCACCAGTTTCTTGGCCAAAGACAAGGAAGTGAGGTGGCCAACATCACAACTCCCCAGCTTGCATCTAAGCATTTATGTTACAGAAGGGCTGACTAGGGGTGACCTCTGGCACAAGCGCAGAGCAGGACTTGAGCTGATGCTGGTGGAGTCATAGACACTTCATCCACTCTTCCCTCACACCCCACATACAGGAGGTCAGATTTCAGGATCCAGTGGTCCTATTTGAACTCGAATTCCCCAAACAAAGCTTTCTCTGCCAGCTACCTGAGACCTTTTTGAGAAGGCCATACAATTAGCATTGTGGTTTGTGCACAACAACAGAAACTCTTGTAAGATGCTGGATCTCCCTAGAGAAAAAAAGGGGGATTCTTTTTTGTAGATCATTGGAATTAGAGGATAAAATTGATTTATTCATTTTAAAAGGGCAGAGCACAACTGGGAATAGGGAACTGTATACCAAGAGAATTTCTCCCCTCCCCTAAAGCAAAAAGGAAAGCAGAGTTTTATTGGGGCAAATCCATCCTTGGCTTCTCTTCACCGATGATGGGGACTCAAGTGGCCAATTATCTCAGTTGGGAGGCTGTTGAGCATTCACTCTGCCACTGCTCGATTGCTATTCCCTAC